GCTGCGCATGAGAAGGAGAAGCAAAAGCGTCAAAGATCCAAGAAGAAGATACACCATGAAGGAGGAATTACTAGAGAAGAAGCGCAGGATCTCATGAGGTCAAGAGATCAAGTTGTCGAACCTCCAGTCAATGATCCTCCGCAGTCTCAATTACCGGCCTCTCAACCACGCCAACGTGCGCTCACAGAAGTGCAGTAACTGTGGTATTGTGGGCCATACTAGAGTTAGATGTCCTGAACGTACTACAACTTAATTTTTGTATATAATTGCCATGTTGGGTAGAGAATTCAGTTTCAATTTCTATCTAGGAGACGCGTTCGGAGGTGGTGTCCGGCTCGGTGGTGTGTCCGGCTCGGGGGTGGATTACGTTAGTTAAGTTAGTTAGTTATGTTAACTAATATGCTTGATTACATAATCCAGTGTGCTGCTCCCCGCCAAGTAAAACAACATGAGAATGACAGCGAGAGCCAACTTCAACAAAGTTAGCAGCCCGCGTCGATTGCAGTTTCTGCCAGGGCATGATTATTGCTATTGAAGGAGGAAAAGCATGAAACAAATCAGAAGGCAATATGTCGCGTAATGTTGACACCACGGCCACCGCCACGACTAATATTCCTCCGTTCGCAAAGCCTCTGGCGCCTTATCTCAAGAGCCGTCAGGAAGCCCTGCGCATTCGCCAGGCATTGACCTTGTACCTACGATCGCACATTGTCTTCGCCGATGACGATCCCACCAAGCCGTCCAGCCATGGTTCTTCCCACATCTCTCTCTGCGTTCCGAACGATGCTGCCGTCGGCGTCAAGCGTATTCCGCCTGAGTTGACTGGTGTGAGAAAGGAATACCTGAAGGCATTACAAGAGAATTTAGCTGCGAGGAGGGAATACGATGAGATTGCCAACGAGGTGGCGTCTAGGCGGTTAATGAACGAGGAGGCGGTCTCCAAAACGAGCGTTGCAGCGCCTGAAGGTCTTGAAAACAATGGCACGGCTCCTGTGTTGCAGGATTACATCTCACTTCTTCATGAGCGCCGGCGATATGATAAACTGCAGGTCTTCGACCGCTATCTGAGAAAACTGAGCGAGCACGATACGATGAAAGCGGATATTCTTCAATCTGGAGACCGAAACCATCTTCGGCAAGACAGCTTTGACGGGTTCTTGAAACAAGATGGTCCAGAGACGGAGAAAATAGGGGAGAATGTGCAGGAACTCATTTCGAAACTGGAAAGGACGGTCATCCGGGCAAAACAGAAGCTGGACAGGGAACAAAAGATGCTCGAGGAATTGAGGGCGCGGCGACTGTCATCCAGCGCAACAGACAAGAATGACGTGTCTCCCGCTCGGAGGGTTGTCGCTCTGCAGAGGACACGAGACGAACTCGTACAGTGGGTGGAAGAGAAGCTAGCGGCGTCCCATAGCGACGATGATGGGCAATTTCAGGAACTATCATTGACAGAAATCGAAAACTCCTCGAAGCTGATCGAGGAGCGCAAGGCAGAGATAAAAGAGCAGTACGCGGCCTATGTGAAAGCACGCAAGTCTCTTCTCGATGCCCTCTCGCTTGTTTCACAGTCTGTCGTGAAAGATGCGGGTGCAGAGGTCGAATCACCGTCCAAGCCTACGACAAAAATGAAACAGAGAGCCCAGCCATCCGACTGGGACTCAATTGATTCTCTCGCCTATGCAAATGGAATCCTTCATCCATTGTCCAAGGTGCAGAAATCATTGGCTCTGCAGAGGTCCTACCTCTCTGGCATCTTGGCCAAAGAACAGTCTACAATGCGCCAGGCTCTGGATCGTTTGAGCCACGAAAGTCACTTGCTCCCAGAATATCCCATTCTAGCTCGTCAATCCAGATTCCAGCATATTACTAGTGGGTCGCGATCAGATCGGTCAGGGCTGACCAAGACGGAAGAAATCGTGGATCAGGCCCAAGCTTGGGCGTTTGCTTCTGAGGCCGCCCGGGCGAATGAAAGAGACTATGTCGACCAGAAGATTGAAAGGGGCAGTGAGATGGCGGAAACCGCTTCTGAGACCCTCCAGCAAGTCTACGAGTTGTTGAATCAAGACTACAAAGAGGTCATGAAAGAGGGAAACGACGAGGAACAGAACGAAGGCGATATATGGGCCGCGGAGATTCGTTCGAGCAGACTGCGGGGAAGACAACACCGGGAGGACAAGCGACCCAAAGGCCCGTGGTCAGGCCTGAATGGAAGGGTTGGAGTCACTGGAGATATTTAATTTGCTTAACATTAATACGTAAATTACGTCAATAGACTTGTTACTGTATTCCGTCCTTTTTTTCTATTGAAGTGGCCACAAGCCGGAGCAGCAGGAAAAGCTGGCGCATTGTTCTTTTTATTATTAGTTGATTATGAGCTTAATTCAGTTTGAATTCAGTGTGGTGTTCGTTCCATGCGGAGACGGCTTGATCCTAAGTCAATTTTGGTTGCACGATGCTGTAATTTTTGTGCTCCAGTTCATCCTACGTAGGTAAATTGTGGGACCCAACTAGGAAAGAAAAAGGCCTAAGGAAAAAAAAAGAGAGAGGGGAAAGAAGACAGAGATTCTCTGTTTCTGCTGCTTGAGAAATTGGATTGCCTTCCATTGTCCTGTTCATCGCTCAATTTCCCACAATTTTTTTTTCATTGTGAGAAAATGAATTGCCGTCTATGGAGTGTTCTCTGCACACTGTGCAACAATAACACAGCCTGCCAACTACACAGATATTGTACGACGAGATATGAATAATTTATAATAATGGAATAATGGCCTTTTTTTTTCTTTTTGACTCATGCATGTCAAACGCCGTTCCAAAATACCGGCGCACTGACTACACCAGTAATATTGGGGGAAAAAAAGCTTTGGGAATTTCGAGCTCCGCAGACCGGAGCTCTTATCGGAGCCCGTGCTTGGCTCTCTTTTTCTCTTATCCTCTTTTTTCCTTCCCCAACGTGCCTGAGCTCTCTTTGACTCATACGCCCCAAATATCACACCTTTTTCTTCTCCTCTTCTCCTTCTCCCCCGCCAGGATTTCAATTCTTCCCCCGACGTTGACTGCGAGAGAGGAGAAGAGGGCAACAGGGTCTGCGACCCAGAAGAGGAAGTACTCATCCCATTAACCTTATCGGGTCTCCAATTGAGACTTCGGACGCATCCAATTGGGTTCAATTGATCGCTGTCGTCTTCTCTTCTCGGATCTCTTCTTTGGGGCCCTTCGTCTGCCCCGCGCAGTGCGCAATGGCTCTTTCTGCTCGATGCGGGCAGCAAGCAGCTGCTTTGTTGCGCCAACGCTGCTTCGCCGAGTCGCGCGCTCCCACATTAGCCCTGCGCTCCTTTTCGACGCATATCCCCTCTCGATCGGCTGCCTCGTGTCTCCGTTTACAGCAGCAGATCCCCTCGTCATGGCGTTCTCATCAGCTGCGCCTCTTCTCCAGCTGTCTCCGTCGATTGGCCTCTGAGGCGCAGACGGCTCCCTCCACCAAGGCCTACCTGGCCAGCGGAGCCATCGGCCGTTCCCCTGAGCTGGTGGATGTGAAAAAGGTTCTGGTCATTGGAAGTGGTGGGCTAAGCATTGGGCAGGCAGGAGAGTTCGATTACTCTGGTATGTATGCCCATGTCATCTCCGCATGCTTTCTGGACGAGCTTCAGTTGCTCTAGCGGCCAATTCCTGTAATTTTCATAATGGAAGAAAGTTACATTGAGGAGTGTATTGATTGCGAAAACAAAAAAATTAATTATTTTACATCGCTTACGAATCATCCGAAAAATATAGGCTCTCAAGCGCTCAAGGCTCTCAAAGAAGCTGGCGTCAAGTCGATCCTCATCAACCCGAATATTGCTACCATTCAAACTGATCACAAGCTCGCGGACGAGGTCTACTATCTTCCGATCACGCCAGAATATGTGACTCATGTTATTGAGAGGGAACAGCCGGACGGTATCTTCCTGAGCTTCGGCGGTCAGACCGCTCTAAACCTTGGTGTGCAGATGAACCGAATGGGCATCTTCGATCGCTATGGTGTGAAGGTCCTGGGAACCAGCATTAAGACTCTCGAGATGAGTGAGGATCGTGATCTCTTTGCTAAGGCTCTGAAAGAGATCAACATCCCCATTGCGGAGTCAATCGCGTGTAACACCGTTGACGAGGCCCTGCAAGCCGCAGAGAGCATCGGATACCCGATCATTGTCCGTTCTGCATACGCTCTGGGTGGTCTAGGATCCGGCTTCGCGGCAAACCGAGAGGAATTGAAGAACCTTGCATCCCGCTCCCTGAGTCTTGCCCCGCAAATCCTCGTCGAGAAGTCTCTCAAAGGGTGGAAGGAAGTTGAATACGAGGTCGTCCGTGATGCCAGCAACAATTGTATTACTGTATGCAACATGGAGAACTTTGATCCGCTGGGAATCCATACGGGAGACAGTATCGTCGTTGCTCCTAGCCAGACTTTGTCTGACGAAGAGTATCACATGCTCCGTACCGCCGCCATCAAGATCGTTCGTCACCTTGGCGTGGTCGGAGAATGCAATGTTCAGTACGCCTTGCAGCCGGATGGTCTGGACTACAGAGTGATTGAGGTCAATGCTCGTCTCTCGCGCTCATCTGCGCTGGCGTCCAAGGCTACTGGCTATCCTCTCGCCTACACTGCAGCCAAGATCGGTCTTGGACACACCCTTCCGGAACTTCCCAACGCTGTCACGAAGACCACCACGGCGAATTTCGAACCCAGTCTGGACTACATCGTGACTAAAATCCCTCGGTGGGACTTGAGTAAGTTCCAGCATGTCAAGCGTGATATTGGAAGCGCGATGAAGTCGGTGGGAGAGGTTATGGCTATCGGTCGCACGTTTGAGGAGTCGTTCCAGAAAGCGATTCGTCAGGTTGACCCCAGGTTCGTTGGTTTCCAAGGCGATCATTTCGAGGATCTGGACGAGGCGCTCCGGAACCCTACCGACAGACGATGGCTGGCGATCGGGCAGGCCATGCTTCACGAAAACTATTCCGTTGACAGGGTCCATGAGTTAACTAAGATTGACAAGTGGTTCCTGTACAAGCTCCAGAACATTGTGGACTGTCACAACGAGCTGAAGGAGATCGGCAGCCTCTTCGGCATCAATCAGGAGATGATGTTGAAAGCCAAGAAATTGGGTTTCTCTGATAAGCAGATCGCCATGTGTGTTGGATCTACGGAGGATGATGTTCGCGCACGCAGGAAGAGCTTCGGTATCAGACCCTGGGTAAAGAAGATCGACACTCTCGCTGCTGAGTTCCCTGCGGACACGAACTACCTCTACACCACTTACAATGCTACTTCTCACGATGTGACTTTTGACGACCATGGTACCATCATCCTTGGCAGTGGTGTGTATCGAATTGGCAGCTCAGTGGAATTCGACTGGTGTGCTGTCAATGCAACACTGACCCTGAGAAACATGGGCAAGAAGACCGTCATGATCAACTACAACCCGGAGACGTACTCGACCGATTTCGACACTGCTGATAAGCTGTACTTCGAAGAACTCAGCTACGAGCGTGTCATGGATATCTACGAACTCGAGAATGCTAGCGGCATCGTCGTCTCTGTCGGTGGTCAGCTGCCGCAGAACATCGCGCTCCGCCTCCAGGAGAAGGGTGGCGCTCATGTTCTCGGTACCGATCCGGTGGATATTGACAAGGCCGAAGACCGTCACAAGTTCTCGCAAATCCTGGATAGCATCGGTGTTGATCAGCCTGAGTGGAAGGAACTCACCTCGGTTGCCGACGCAGAGCGTTTTGCTGAGACTGTGGGATACCCTGTCCTCGTTCGTCCTAGTTACGTCCTCTCCGGCGCCGCGATGAGTGTGATTTACAGCCCAGATGAGCTGAAAGAGAAGCTTATCAACGCCAGCTCTGTGTCTCCCGATCACCCGGTCGTCATCACAAAATTCATTGAAGGGGCCCAGGAAATTGATGTTGATGCCGTGGCCTCTGGCGGAAAGCTTCTCTTGCACGCTGTTAGCGAGCACGTTGAGAATGCAGGCGTTCACTCTGGTGATGCCACCCTGGTCCTTCCACCAACCTCCCTTAACGAGTCGGACATGGCTCGTCTCAAGGAAATCGCTGAGAAAGTCGCCAAGGCATGGAACATCACTGGTCCTTTCAATATGCAGATCATCAAGGCCGACAATCCCAACGGCGGCGAGCCTCTTCTGAAGGTGATCGAGTGCAATCTTCGCGCCTCTCGTTCATTCCCGTTTGTTAGCAAGGTCTTGGGGACCAACTTCATCGATGTTGCCACCAAAGCCCTTGTTGGACGTGACGTTCCTGAGCCGGTGGACCTCATGGCTACGAAACGCGACTATGTCGCAACTAAAGTTCCTCAATTCAGCTGGACCCGCCTTGCTGGCGCCGACCCCTTCCTTGGTGTTGAGATGGCCAGCACTGGTGAGATTGCTTGCTTTGGAAAGGATATCATTGAGGCTTACTGGGCTTCGCTTCAATCCACGATGAACTTCCGAGTCCCTGAGCCTGGCGAGGGTATCCTACTGGGTGGTGACTACACTGGAACGCTGACCAAGATCGTCGAGTACCTTCAGCCTCTGGGCTATAAATTCTATGCGGCTAGCCCAGAGGTGAAGGCCCAGCTGGAAAGCGGTGTTAAGGGCGTGAGTGTCAACGTCATCGAGTTCCCCAAGGAGGACAAGAGGGCGCTCCGCGAGATCTTCCAGAAATATGACATTCGCGGTGTCTTTAACCTTGCTAAGCAGAGGGGTAAGACCCTGCTGGACGAGGACTATGTCATGAGGCGAAACGCTGTTGATTTTGGCGTCCCGCTCTTTATGGAGCCAAAGGTACGTGGTTTCCTCTTGCTGCCCCTGTTGGTGATGGCATTCGACTAATTGATAATCTGTTTGCAGACTGCTCTTCTCTTTGCGCAGTGCATGAGCGAGAAGCTGCCCCGAAAGGAGGGTATCCCGCCCGAGGTCCGCAGCTGGTCTAGTTTCGCCGGCGGCAAGATGATGTAAAATGTTGCCATGTAATTTTGTTTTTCTTACTGTCATGTTGCTCTGGTTAATTGCTGGCAAGCATACCCTTCCAGATGTGTTGTTTCAATAGAAAAAAAAAGTTTGTTTTTTGCAGTCTTTCTGTGGAATAGACTGTGTTGGTGGACTGGTTGTTACTTACAAATATTACTATGGTCAATGCGAAGGAGTATAAAGGAGTCAGATATCAGATATCCTTTGCTTCTCAATCGACATGGCTTTCAGCTTGTTGATACTTCACCGCAATGTCGGTTATATGCATGGACAAAAAATAGCAAAAAGAGCAAGCGGGTGCGGTGTATTCGTGGGTTTTACACTCGATGGATGTATCCTGCTCTGAAGTAATCTTTCAGGATATAATCGTATACTACTCCGCTCCAAGATGCTGTTAACGCCGATCGTCATGGAATTGTCCATGGAATTGACATTGTTTTTCGTGCGCCAAGATTCTGCTGAACCGTCGCTGGCCCCGCCGGAGCGGTGCCGAGCTCGATCAATCGGATTCAGCTTCTAACTACATAACAACTGATGCTGTCAAGCTTAATCCTTGAGTATTCGCGCACGTCTAAGCTGCTCATGAGTCTTTTCTTTTCTTTTCGCAGACTTCAAGTCTGACCCTCACAGTGTGGTATGAGGGCTAATTGCCTGGCATTGAATGCCCATACTTAATTCAAAGTCATAGAATGGTTGTATGTTGAAGTGGGTTACCTTCTCCATTGTGCATATTCTCAAATATCAAAGAGAGCTACTTGAAGTATTTTTTATACTTCCAGCTGTATGGCTGGCTTATTTGCTACTACTATTTAAGGGCCAATTTGAGTCCTAGCCTCTTCCCCCACTCTTGATAACTCCGTTTCTTTCCTGTTTACATATCTATTTATTCGCTTCACAATAGAAGAAAAAATAACTCAAAATGTCCTTGAATCCCTTGCCGTTTGTGAGTACCAAGACCGTCGCTCGTGCAGCAGGCGATGGCATGGGCAACGGCCTCTTTGCCCTCACAGACATCGAGATGGGCCAGGAACTGCTCAGCATTCAGAAGCCATTTGTGGCCGTCCTGGATACCCCCAGATTGCAGGACACATGCTCTGGTTGCTTTGGAACAAAGCAGCAACAGCAGCAGGCGCCGGAAGAAGCTGTCAAATTAAAGTCCTGCACAAGGTGTCAGGTTGTCAGGTACTGTGACAAGGTAGGGTGTTTCTAAAAATTCCGCGACTATTCTCGTGTATGATTTCGTCTACATGTATGTTTATATATGTATATGCGTCTTGTTATATGAAAGTCATGATATATCGCAGCTGCTAATGTGCTCCCAGAGCTGTCAATCCAAGGACTGGAAGTTCGCACATTCCCTGGAATGCCCGATCTATTCGAAGTTGTATCCCAAAATTTTGCCAAATAGTGTCAGGGCGATTCTGCGAATTGTTCTCCGCCATAGCAAGCAGAAATATAGCAGCGAGGAGTTTGAGACATTCCTCAAGCTCGAAACGCATGCCCGGGAGCTCCGTGATAGGGATGATGAACAGTGGAACCGGATCTCACTTTCAGCCAAAGCAGTTCGAGAATACTCTGGGGTTGACATGAAAGAAGAAATAATATCCCCTTTCTTTGCAAAGGTAACCTTGACCCCTGTTCGAAAGTGAGCCTTTCGTTGACAGTTTGCCTTCCGTAGCTTGACGTGAATTCATTCAATCTCACCACGCCGTTTCACGAGCGGATTGGGCTGTATTTGCATCCTTATGCCGCTCTGATGAATCACAGTTGCGATTTCAATGCTGTGGTTGGATTCGAAGGGGATAAACTTTTTGTGAAGCCGGTTCGGCCGATCAAGAAGGACGAGCAGATCTTTATCTCATACATCGACGCGACTAACCCTCGTGAGATTCGTCGTAAAGAGCTTTCAGATCGGTACTTTTTCGATTGTAACTGTCCAAAGTGCCGGAAGGGCAAGGATGCACGCGAAGATGCCTTTTTGACGCCCGTTGTCGACATAGAGGCAATCACATCAGCAGAGATAAGAGCGAGGGAATTGGTGAGATCTGCTACAACTGATAATAACCCATTCAACGCGGTCAACAAGTTGAAATCCGCTATCAATATATTGAGTAAGACCTCCGTGTGGCCGATCACTCGACAGCCATATGTTTCTGCACGGGACGAATTAATCGTGTCTCTACTCTCCGCGCAACAATTCGAATCTGCCTTTGCACATGCGACGGTCCGTTTTCTCCGAGTTGACCCGGTGGTATATCCACAGGAGGCCCACCCACTTCGACTGCTACATGTGTGGGCGCTAGCGAAACTTGGGATACATATCTCGCAGGGGGTGGAACCCGACCGCGAAGGCGACTCTTTAGTTCAAAAGTACCAGATCAATCTCGGGTTGATAATCTGGTCGCTACTTGCCTGGCTTATCGACAAGGAAGGCGAAGCTTGCACTAGCTCGACCTTCCAGAGTATGGTGAGGGCGACTTATAAGGAAGTATATGACGAGTTTAGAGCCAACAATCTGGACCCGACGAAGATGACAGCGGAGGCAAATGGCGAGTGGGCTAAAATGGAGAAAATCGCGGATCATGTGTTGCAGCTCGAAGGAGATATGGCTGGTAAGCCATGAGAGAGGGTCAGTGCAGTGTCGCGTTTCTGTTGCAACAGACCCTCATCACAATACACGATCTCGATTGATGGTCACCCATGTGGATTCTCGCGAACACGTATTTATGGAAAGGGGTGGTTGCATATACTCCATTACCAAGAGCTCCGTGATTACCAAAATCCGTCTTTAGCTGTGGCTTGTCTTGTTACTCACATGGTCTTCTGTATAATCGAGGTCATCGTGTTTAGAACTGGTTGAGGCGAAATAGAAGCGCCGAAATGCTGTCAGTTTCCTGTTTTGTTGATCTTCTCTCCTCTCTCCCCACCTTACTTTCTACAACTCAGCACTTTTATTGTCTGGCGCCACGCACCAGATCACACGTGGCAAGCGAATCCAGAGACTTTACTGCTGCCCCGATTTCTGGGTTTTGAAAATTTCCAAATTCTAGGAGGGGGGTTTTGTTTTCTTGCTTACCTCGCAACCCTCTTATCGACTATTTTGGTTGATAAGCTGTCTGCCACTTATCTGTCAAGTCTGCGATATTTCAAACAGCAAGGATATATCAGCCCCCAGATCCCTGTTTGCGAAGCTACAATTGTCTTTTCTTGGGACTCTTCACCTACCGTGGTCCTGCTTGTGAATGTTCCACCGTATGTACCTATATTTATTCCCTTCTTTCCGTTGAAAGCATCTTTGCTAGATTTAAACACACTACTTGTGCTTAATTTTGTCATTCTAACACGTCTTTGGCCATAGGAGCAGCTGGTGTCGTGGGTAATACAGCATGGCAGACGTGCCTCCGCATACACACTCAAATTCGAACGGAGCAGGTCAAAGCGATGTCGATGGCCTTCTTAAACGCATGAGCCGGAATGACCCGGCATTCATTCTCCTTCTTGTGCTTGCCGCACATCCGGACCTCAACCTCAACTATTCCAGGATGTCTGAGTTAAGCCATAAGCTATCAAACCCAGAACTGTGGATAACATCTGCCGATATCGATGCCAGCATTTCCGGTCTTGTTGAACTGTCACAGAGGCTTCAGGAGCAGCTGCCACGTATAGTAGTACACGGTGTTGATGATACCAATTTCCCATCGCCAGCAGAAGCGACTGAAATATCTGGCCAGTATCAGAATGGCCACAAGGAGACAGGAATGCACATGGCCACTACAAGGAACCAGTCCGATCCAACAGTGCAGTCTTCGAGCGGGTCCTACGAATGCTCAGATCCTCCTGCAGGTCATTTCTTGCAGGTCACTGAATCCAAGTCCGTTACAGCGGAAGCAGAAGCAGCAGCCACCGAAACTATTTTTGGAGCGAAACCAGTGCGAAGGCATGGTTACAATTGGGAATACCGCCACGCTTCGTTTGATGATGACTCCTCAGACGAAAACAACCATGACGAGACCTGTAGCATTGTATCGTTTATCAGCAGCCGTGTCATGTTCGGAGGCGCGTCAGATTCGGCAAGACGCTCTCGAACGAAGGACGCAACTCCCCTAGCCTTGCTATACGAGCAGTCTTCTGGCTACATCGACTGGTTTGATTCTTTCGACCCTGGTACATCTATTGCTTCTCTGCACAGTATCAGCAGCATCAACAATAACAGCAACAGCCGGCAAGACAGCAACCGACAAGACAGCGGAGTCTATCTCAGTGACTACGACGACGACGATATAGCGTCTATCGGGGGTGGTGTGTGGATGGGTTAGTCAAGCTTATACTAAAGTCATCCAGGACTGTGAGGAACTTCGAAGATTGACCCCTAGATGCTACAAGATGATGCAATCATTGCCTTTTGGGAACTGTAGTTCATTAGCCAACGTATTTCAGATCACAACGCCAGAAATGGAGGTAGAGACCGCAGTACATTACCTGACCGTGTTTTTTGTTTTCTCTTTCCCCCCCTTTAAGGATAAAAGTGAGATAGGTCAGACTGGAGTACGTGCATATGAGTATAGAGTACTTAGGTAGGCAGGTAGATAGGTAGGTATAACTAAGTTGTAAGTATGGTATGCTCTTAAGAGCGTACTCCGTGTGTATGTATCTACGTATGATCGACAGACAATTAGACGAAGCAAAGGCAAAAGACCATACAGGACAAGCAAAGCACTCTGATGAGCAAAAACACAGCCAGCTAGAATGATAATAATGACAATTTCATTCGGTGAGTTAGGTATTTTTTTTTGAACATGACCTGTGGAGTAGGTATATCTACACCAGAGAAAGCATATACATACCATGTAGTTAGTTCCAGACTGAATTCACAACCTGATTGATTGAAAACTTCGTATACTAAGCAACTGCCTTTTCTTTTCTTTACTATTAATTATTCATGCAATTATGTATGTATGTGGTTATTGGGTTTGCTGCTTACTTGATTGAGCTTTGTTGTCACAGTCGTATATACGTATCTGTTGACGAAAATTGACAATAATAATAATGACGTGCGAACAGATACCATTTCTAATGTGAAGTAAAATGAGTTCTGTTCGAAGGATATCAATGCCAATTCGTAAAAAGAAATTTTAGCTTTTTCTTTATCCCCTAACTATTAATGACAAAGTGAGGGTAGTAAGGAAAAAGAGGGAGACGAAATTGTTGTATATGTGGCCATACATCAATCATCCCGACGGTTTGACCGGACTGGACTGGACCGAGCGAGGGCCTTGGGGAAATCTTTTTCTCTCTCAATTTTTTTTTGAATTTCGAACGCCCGAGTTTTCTTCACGCCGGTATACTAGTCCCATGACATGACATGAAAAAAACGTTTGAACCGTTGCAACCAGCCAGGCCCCCAGCAAAACATCCACCATATCCGTTCCATCCAAAGGGTACTCGACATACACAGTTCTGGCATTTTCGCGTTTATTTCAGAGGAATGAAACGGGAAGAGTGGGTGGCACCGATACCGGGCCGACCGTGCTTGACGGGCTTGCTGCAAGGGTGTTAGAAGACGAATTCATTCCAATGGCCAATTCAATTTGCGAAGGGTACATACTATGTGATGGAGAACTCTCCCAGGTAGTGGCCAACCATTTCGGGCTTGATCTCAACCTGGTTGAACTCCTTGCCAGAGTAGATACCGATGACACTGCCGATCATCTCCGGCACAATGATCATGTCACGCAGGTGCGTCTTGACCAGGGCGGGCTTCTCGTTGGGCTTGGCCTCCTGCTTGGCCTTGCGCAGCTTCTTGATCAGGCCCATGGGCTTGCGCTTCAGACCGCGGTTGAATCGGCGACGGGCACGGGCGTGCACGACATCGCGGAGCTGCTCTGAGGAGAGGTCGAGGAGCCTGTGGAATAGCATCCAAGTCAGACGATTCCATTTCCGAGGTGTGGACGCCTCTTCAAGGAAAGCATTTAAACGTACTGGTCGAGCTCAATGCCGCGGTAGGCGAACTTGCGGAACTGCCGCTTCTTCTTAAGCTCTGTTGTCGGCGTGACATGTCAGCGTCCATCCACTTTTCGTCCTTTGTCGTCGACAGTATCGTGATTCCCCATCCCCTCCACACCGGCATTTATCATCGATGCATCTGCATCATTTCCCACGCGCAGCTCATCCCACACACATCTTCTTGAGGAAAAGAAAGAAAGGAGTGACTGGATTTGGAAAATTCGACACGTACCGGCAGCCTCCTCGGCGTTCTGTAGTCACAATAGTCAGCACTGGCTTTGACACATGGGCATTACATCGGTGCTCATCGCACTCGCAGAGACAGGAAAAAGGGTAACTTACGTATTCGATGTCAGCCATGGTTGCGGATGGTTCCTCTGGGCGCTTTTCGAACGAGAAATCGAAAAGCGAGAGCAGGTGGTTGTCGTGTCGGTCGCTGAAGCCTTCGTCGAGACGGTTCTTGTTCTGCGCTTCAAGTTTGAGAGGTGGGCTGCAGCGCTCGGCTAAGCGACCACGTTAGGTCACAAACCCTAGCCCTACGCTAGACCACATTAAGCAACTCCCGGACATGGATAGCGTCCATCGGGAAGCGGCTCCACTGGAGGAGACTACGGAGTACCTCGATTACGGCTCGTCTCTGCAGGTCATTGCAGTTGTCCTAGTGCCCATTGGACACGGAAATTGCAGACGTCAAGGGCAGAAATATTCTACGTCTTAGGCCATACTCTCAAAGAACAGGGGGAAAAAAAATGATCGATCTGTAGAGGTATCGAGCATCTGGATTGCCAAGAGCTACCTTTTTAGCTCACATAAGATAAATGCATGATCGTAACTGCATCATAATAGTTTGGAGATACGATATCCAGAGAGACAATTGACAAAAAGGTCCCTCGAGATTGTCATCCCTCCAAATCGCTCCCAGAGCACTCTCCTCCACATATTCATACTGTATTTTGTTCGATTGGACGAGTCGCTTAGTCGAACAGACCGAAGCCCATGTCCTCGTCGGACTCCTCCTCCTCCTTCTTCTCCTCTTTCTTCTCCTCAGCCGCAGGAGCAGCGCCGCCAGCGGCAGCACCACCAGCAGCAGCAGGGGCAGCAGCAGCACCGCCAGCCGGGACGGAGGCAAGCTTGGTGGTACCCTCAGCAATCAGCTGTGCAGGAGAGGTCGTGTCAGCGCAATTCGTGGCAAAACAAAATCGGAACAATCTCAATGGCTATGGTCACCCACCTCCTGAATGTCCTTGCCCTCAAGCTCAGAGATGAGCTTCTCCAGACGCTCCTCGTCGGCGTCAATGCCAACAGACCCAAGGACACCCTTGATGTCGTCAGCAGAGGGAGAGGTGTTGCCGGCAAGGCCGAGGAGGAGGTAAGCGGCGAGGTGCTTCATTTTGATTTTTCTGTAGGCCAGAAAAGGTCATGTTAGTAACAGTCATAGCAAAGATCGCATGGAAATTGGGCGAGGTGACCGTGTCCCGCGGAAAGAAAAAACGTACTGGAGAGGATCTGGATGCTGCGAACAAGAGAGTCAATCGATTTAACCGCAAGTTGGGCGGAGACTGAAACGTCAAGTTCGCGAGGATTGAAGGGATGCGATCGGTCGCTGGTTTGGACGAGGAGGAGGATCAAATTCACGAACCGCAAACCCACAAAAGAAAAAGTGCGGCGGCCCGTGTGGCTGGTGCCGGGAGCCTGCTAAGCGAGCAGCTGCAGCGGGTGTGGCGCAGGATTGCATAAGCATCCATCTGCCACCGCTCACCGCTTTCCGTCCCAGCCAGCCTGCTCTGCCCCCACGTGACCAGGCTGGCAGTCTCACAATCGCCTTGTCTCCAGCCACTTCATCTCTTCCATCTCCCCTCCCCCGCGCTTCTGAGAGACTTCTCTCGCTTCAGATTCACTTCAGGAGACTTTGGGAATATTCCAGGAGGTGTTCATTCCGGACATCATTCTGTGTTCACCGTCTGCAGAGGTTTTCTCGGGCCGTCGGGCTAATCTGAATCACTCGTTGCAGACGGACCCTTATCACTCACCTTTCAGTGGCTGGTTCTGAATAGCCGGCACTGTCATTCTGGAAACATGAGGCTACTTCCTCATATCATCTGTCGGCGGTGAAAGAACAGAGTCTCTTCTCTATCTCGACTGGTTATCGATAAAGGCACTCGTCGGGATAAGCAACTGGCCACCATGAGTGTACGTGCTACGCTTAGGTTTGTTCCCGAAAGGTATCGGCCGCTAATGGGATGACCAGTTCCTCAGTTCCGTCCTCTCGTCTATCGAGACTGGTAAACCGACGTCTATTCCGCCGCCGCCGCCACGACCTCCGGCTCCCGCCGGCTCAGGTGCAGCTCACAAACGTGATGGCCAGAAACCTGCATCCGCCTCGGTAAACACGAATGCAACCACCCGGAGCGCAAACACGACGCCTGCGGGAACGAAGCGGAAAGCAGAAGAACAGCTCCACCGTCCTGACAAGCCGAATGGTCCAACCGCAAGCAGCGCGACATCAAAAGCGTCCTCTGCTGCGTCTGCTGCAGCGAAACCCCAGCAGAAATCAGCAAACAATGATTCTACAGCTTCTCAGAAGCCTTCGCCGGCCGCAGTTTCTTCTAAGCCTCCCCCAAAGGGCTCCTTCGCGGATTTGATGCTCAAGGCTAAGGAGGTGCAGGAAAAAGCGCCGAAGGTCGGGCTGCTGAAGCATCAAGCGGTCCCGAAGGAGAAGCTGAGTAAGGCAGAAAAGAAGAGAAGAGTCATGGAGGCGATGGCAAAGGAAAAGGAAGCTCGTTTAGCTAAGAAATCTGCTTCGACTTCGAGTCCGTCTGCTGCCACCAAGGCCAGCGGTAAACCGGGTGAAGGATCGTCAATCAAACGGCGCGAGACGGAAGAGATTTCGTACAAGGGCACGGCACGTCCGATGCAGCCTGCCTATAAAGGAACGGCTGGCTTGCCCTCGCGGCACTCGGCGGGCGGTCGCGGAAGAGCCGAACCCCGCCGCAGCAGGCCATCTCGACTGGACGAATATCTTGGAACTGACGAGGAGGATGAGGGTGATTACTATGATGATTACGATGACTACTACTCCGATGATTTATCCGACATGGAGGCTGGGCTCGAGGATGTGGAGAGGGAAGAAGAAGAGGCGCTCCGAGCTGCCAAACAGGAGGATGAAGAAGACATCCGGAGGGAGATGGAAGCCAAGAAAGCGAAGATGGAAAGGAAGAAGAAGTTGGCTGCGCTGGCTTCCAAGTCCAAATGATGATTTCTTAGAAGCTGGGGTTGGCGCTTGGGCTTGCTGGATTTCGGGTTTCCTGCATGAACATTTTATTTTATACCATTGGCGAGGGATACCCTGTTGGAGTACCGTATTTCTGTTTCTTCTGGCATTTTCGTGCGTCGGGTGTTTGGTAGACCGCGGTTTCAAGTTTGGAGGCCTGTTTATTAGCGATCGTCTATATTTTTCTCATAGACCGGTGTTGTAGATATCATAACAAGACTTTTTTTTTATAACCCCAGTGTTGAGCGATTATAATTCATGATATGCGGCAGTGACTAGGAGTGTTTGTATGCTGATGCAGAGTGCGGAGTACGTCGGTGACATCACTCTCTGGTCATTCGTCTGAAGTCATCTCCGCAGCCCCTCAACGCGGAATTCCACCGAGATAACAGCTAAATCGTTCTGGCGCAACAACACCTTCGAATACCAATTGAATAGATTTGCATATTTTTTTATTTTCTAATTCATACGGGTGATATTGTTTTAATTCCAGACTGAGGGCTGACTAGCACACTTTATCGCTCCGAATCTCCGCCATGGAGCCTATCCACATTTCGACCTCGTCCAAAAAGCTGCTCGCCCGGGCGCGGGCGATCGTACCGCCAATGCTGGAGAAATTTCACAAAGGTTAGTTGATAAATAGGAATTGGCGCTTCTCCAGGGAATCAAATTTAGATGAGCATGAACTGACCGTGGATACACAGGGCAGCTGGGACGTGTTGCAGTCATCGGTGGAAGCGCAGAGTAAGCTTCGAGCTCTCGATTACGAACATGATGGAATTAGAAGGATGCTGACCAATGGATCGGTGACTTGAAGCTACACTGGAGCTCCATACTTTTCAGCAATTGCTTCTGCACGGTTAGGCATGTCTTACGGACTTCATTCTGTCTGGCAGTATTTCATTGGCCTGAGAGTGTTGCTAACTGAGATCGACAGGGTGTGATATGGTAAAATACCAGTCCAACAAGAGGAATATAATTTTGTAAAGACATGTACGAGGCTAATATTCGGTAGAGCCATGTGATTTGCGAGAAATCCGCAGCATCAGTATGTAGATTGTCCAAAAATTCAAGTTCAAGCCGGCTTTTGCTAATCATAAGACGACTAATAGGTCATTAAATCTTATTCGCCGAATTTGATGGTCCATCCCATCCTCCCCAGTAGTGCAACTGTACCGAACCCCGGATCTATCGATCCTCCTGCTCTGGCCAAGCCCATCATTGGCATGTTTTCGCGACTGCACGTTCTGGTGATAGGACCAGGCTTGGGCCGTGACGGGGTCACGCAGCGAGTAGTCGAGGAGATTATGAAAGAGGCGCGATCCCGCTCGTTACCGTTTGTCCTGGATGCGGACGCTCTGTTGCTTGTGACCGAGAAACCGGACCTCGTGAAAGGGTACAAGGAGTGTATCCTGACGCCGAACGTGGTAGAGTTCAGTCGACTGGCCAAAGCATTGGGTATCGAGGTGCCCAGTCAGGCTGACGTGCAGAAGGGCGGCCAGGCTGGGCAACAGCTGTCAGAGGACGAGAAGACGAGCAAGGCATCAGAGGCCTGTGAGAAACTAGCACAGGCTCTTGGAGGGGTTACAATTATCCAAAAGGGACCACGCGATATTATTTCGAACGGTGTGACCAGTCTCGTCTCTGACATTCCGGGCGGACTGAAGCGGAGTGGTGGGCAGGGAGACACGCTGACGGGGTGCCTGGGGACGTTTCTGGCCTGGCGATCAGCATACCACGAGGGAGTGTGGGATACGGGCGAGAAGGCCAACGACAAGATTGCGCAGTCGAAGGAGGAGGTGCGGGCGGAGCTTGAGGACCCGAGCAAGAAGATGTCGCCTACGACGACACTCCTTCTGGTGGCGTATGCGGGGAGCAGTTTGACGAGAGATTGCTCCCGGCGGGCTTTCAAAGCGAAGGGACGGAGTATGCAAGCCAGCGATCTGACAGACGAGGTGCACGAAAGTTTTCTGTCGTTGATTGGCGAGCCAGAAGAGTCGAAGCTGTAGATATTAATCTTATACCAGATGATCTAGAATATACGAACTATATGTCACACCATGTACGCAGAGTTTGACATTATGAATGCGAGGAATCTACTCAATATGCTAACAACCCACGAAGATTTCCCTTAAGATGGAGAAGGTATGTACGTATGTACATACATACATACATAACAAAATCAGCCCGGGAAAATATATGCACATCTTTCAACCGCTCAGGGGGAAGTAAATAGAAAAAGTAATGCAGGAAAGAAAACTTCTCGAGAGGAATACGTCAGCAGAGGAGATTGGATTAGATTAAGCACCCTCGAAGACATAAAGCTGGAAAGAATGATGGCATTTTCATACATACTGCACTGTATGTACTGTACATATATGTACCCACATTGTCAATACTTTTGTCCTCGAACACCTAAGAACATTGAAGTTACAGATATAGATATTGTTCGTACTACACAATTGTCGATTCAACCTACATATCTATCGCTTCCTAACTGCTAGCTAGCTAGCTGCGAGCTAGCCACACAAGGTAATTTTGTACGCTGAATCTATCTAATTTATGTAGTTCGTATACTATTTCCTAGTTAGGAAATGTAGATTAAGTACTAGAACTGAGTTTCTATAGATATAGCTTAGCTTGAATGTTGCATGATTATCTATAGACTACTACTTATGTACTCTACTTGGAGGTTTGGAGTTCCTAAAACGACAGTATGCCTCTACCTTAGTATAGTCTCTGCTATCTAAAATAGTAATACTAAGGGTGTTAAAAAAAAGTAAATAAGTAAATAGATAAAGCCAGCCTCCAGGTGTCTTTTGGACTTCTCAGGTTGGATTAGCTATGCATGCATGATATAAAAATTCCTCTAAAGAAAAAAGAATCTGACAAGTTTGCAATCCTATTCATATAGGAATCTAACCTTGACCTAATGATCTACTGTGATTATTTTATTATTGATGTATTGTGACCATACCGGAAAGAGGGATGGAAGATAGATAGCACTTTCCGTTCAGAATTTGGGAATACGTACGCATTTCCTGATATAGATAGATGCTAGCTTCATACCAAATCTAATCCCCACAGCTCTCAATAGGACGTCCTCTTTCTTCATGTGTCACTGAATGGCGTGTTCGCAAGCTGCAGCGACGTCCCCCCATCAACGACTAGCGTGTGGCCATTGATGTAACTCGCGGCCGACGAGACCAGGAAAACGACCGCATCGGCCACCTCTTCCGGCTCAGCCAGCCGGCCCATTGCCAGATCGCCCAGCATGGCCGCCCTGGCCGCGGGCGCCTCTTGCATGAACTTGTTGATCATGGGCCCGGAGACGTACGAGGGCGCCACGGCATTGATCCGGATGCCTTTCCGCGCGTTTTCGATGGCTAATCGGATTTGTCAGCGGACTTTGACTGTAAAGTCCAGATAGATTGATGGGATTGACCGACCGGCCGTTTGCACCAGTCCTTTGACCGCATGTTTGGCAGCGATATAATTACCCACGCCGAGGAAAGCACCCTCCGACGCTAGCGACGTGAGCAGGACGATGGACCCTCTGCTCATGGCCTTCACGGACGCGCGCCCCGTCGCTCGGGGCTCCTGCTGCAGCATGGTCTGCAGGGTCGCTCGCAGGACCAGAAAAGAGCCGATGTTGTGGACTTCGTCCAGCTGGCGGTAGGCGTCCAGGCTCATGGAGCTGATCGGTGTTTGGTTGGCGGCGCCAAACTAGAGATCCGAATGAGCAAGTCGTCTTTGACTATCCGTTCTGGTCATATTATCGTGCACGTAAATGACGACTTACGCCAGCCGTATTCACGCAGACATCGACGCGACCAAATCGCGACTTGGCTTCGGCCAGCAGCCTCTCAACATCGCGCTCCTGTCTCACGTCGACTTGGATCGCGGTGGCGTGGAAATCGGTGACGGCCTTGCGAGACTGGCTGATTTCGGCAGTCTGCTGGGCAGCCTCGACGTTGAGGTCGGCGCAGATCAGCACGGATGCTCCGCGAGAAGCCAGCGTCAAGGCGACCTCGCGGCCAATGCCGCTGCCTGGGAAGGGTGTGAATTGATATCACTTGAAAGGAAGTATATATATAAAGAGAGAGATGAAGGAAATGAAGATTGCAAGACGGTTGCAAAGTGAGCTTGAACTGACATACCTGCACCAATGACCAACGCCACGCCATCAATCTCCATGCTGAACAATCCTGAGTGCTTGCGTTTCTGTTCCCGCCTAAATGTTGTATACGCAAGACGACCAGTGTCTGTCCCACAGCCAGCGCAACCACCGTTTTGTAGAGGTACCTGTTGGACCGATCTCATCCAACAGCCATGGCGTCAGGCGAGTGGGAGATGTCGAGCGTCGCAATCCAGACATGCTAGCTGATGATGGGGCCAAATGGCGTCGTCGGGTTTAGCGTATCAGCGTTGGTCTTTCCTATCATAGTTGTTAGGTGGCCCAGGCCATCAGAGATTAATAGAGACACGTTTGAGCCACGCTCTTGTTTGACTCCTTGGCATCTAGAAGCCTCACGTCAATTCTTCTCTTCAACTGATTAAAAAGGAAGAAGTCGCCAGACCTCCATCTCCGGACCATGCCGTGGACACAAACCGCACCAGGCGTCTTCTCGCGGCCCCTCGGCGAGAACGAGACGTTTATCAAGCTGGTCAGCGATCCCGGCCACCCCCTCCAGCGCGAGCACTGGGCGATCAACTCGACGGCGACTATCCGTCCCGTCGGGGCGCTGGCCTCGCAGGACATCCTGGCCGCCGTGCTGCGCCGGGCCTGGGCACACCTGCGCTTCCAGCACCCGAGTCTCGCCGCGCAGGTGGCCGCTGACAACACGCATCTGACCTACACGGTGCCCTCGTCGGCCGAGGCGCTGCACGAATGGACGGAGCAGACGTTCGCCGTCGTGGACGCCGCGTCTGCGAGCGAGGTGATCCCCACGCTGAAGCCGGGCCCGTATGCGACGCTGTACTACGTGCCCCAGAGCGGCGAGCTGCTGGGCCACACGGCACACTGGCGGACAGACGGCATTGGCG